AAAAAAAAAAAAAAAAAATTATAAGACATGTGATGAGACAGGATGATGTGATGGATAAGAGAGAAAAGAGACAATAGAAGCAGACACACAGATGATCAAATGTTGAAGTCAGCAAATAAGGGCTTTAAAATCAAAGTCAGAGGAAAAGATGGGCAAAATGGGCCAAAAAAAAAAAAATAGACAATTTCAAAATGGAAAACTGGGATCTACCAAAAAAAAAATCAAATGGACATTTTACAACTGAAAAATACAATATTAGAAATTAAGAACTCAATGGATGGGGTTGATAGGAGACTGGACACAACAGAAGACGTAATTAGTGAATCGAAAGACAGGTGAATGGAAAATTTCCCAAGTGAAGCAAAAAGAATGAAAAAAAAACAGAACAGCGCATAACAGACATGTGACACGGTCAAAAGGACTAACATACGTGTAATTGGAGTCCCAGGAGAGAAGAGCGAAAATGAGGCAGAAAAAAAATTCAAGATATAGTGGCTGAGAATATCCCCAAACTGATCTCCCCACAAATCCCAACTCTGTGCTTCCAACCACTGCATTATACTGTCCCTCAACCCTGTCAATAAATGTTTGTTGAATAAACAGGCTAATGAATGAACGCAGGGCTCCAACCATCTTCTCATCTGGGTGTTTCTCACTTTCCACTCCTCACATTTTCTCTTCTTAGAAAATAATAAATGGTACAATAACATTACACATTTATTGTGGGCAGACAGTAGTTGGAGCTATTACTGTTCCCATTTTACAGATGAGAAACCCGAGGCTCAGAGAAGTTATGGCAACTAGTGCTCTATGGCAGAACTTGAACCTGCTCTGCTGATCCTAATGCCCATCCCCGTACGCTTGACTGTGCCTTGTGTGACTGAGCCCCTGGATCATGTGACCCCACCCTTCCCTGGCCCGCTGACCAGCAAAGTCATGCAGCCGTGGCAGCGTGTCCCGTGCAAGTGACAGCAGTGGCAGGTACAGCTCAGCCACACGAGCCTTCACGGTGGCCTCGGCGTAGCGGGAGTCAGTGTCGTGACTGCAGAGCAGGCTGTGCACGGCACTGATGGCCTTCTTGTGCAACACGGATGCCCTGTGGGGTAGCGGGGTGGGTGCTCAGGACAGAGTGGACATGGCTCCTGGACCGTCCCACCTGCCCCGATCTGTGCTCACCCCTCGGCTTCGGGATCGAGGGCCAGCGCCAGCTCCGTCAGCAGGAGCCCTGCCAGGAAGTGCTGCTGCCGGAAGGGCCCGCTCAGCTCGAACATGCTGGTCACCTTGGGGTCCGGGGCCTGGCTGGAGAAGGTGGAGCTCTGCAGAGGGTGTTGGGGGGAGAAATCGGGGATGCCCGGGGTCAAGGGTCAGAGGTGACAGGTCACCATTAAAGCCATCTGGGAGGAGATAGAAATCATGGTGCCAAATGCCAGAGATGAGAGATTTGGATAATTCATCTGGAGGTGACGGTGGGCATGAGGTCAAAGGCCAGAGGTGAGAGGTTGGGGTTAACTCATCTGTGAGGTAACAGGGCATGGGATCAAAAGTCAGAGGACTGACAAATAGCAGACGAGATGATGCTGGCCTGGGAATTAGGCTTGAGGGGCGAGAAATCAGAAGTTACTCCTGGGAAACTGCTGAGAAGGATGGGTCAGAGGTAAAAAGTCAAGCAGAAAGGGGGGTCGGTCCACCTAGGCAGTGGCCCGCCACGAAAGGGACGGAGATGAGGGAACCACAGCAGATGGACTGAAGGTGAGAGGTCACAGGTTAAGGGGGGGAGGCAGAAGTGAGGCCGGCCCACCTGGGAGGTGGTGGAGGATACGGAGGGGGAAGGCGAGGCCGGGGGCGACAGCGGGCAGCAGGGGAGGTTGAGGGTCACGTAGTGCTCGTGGCTGCACAGGATGCGGGTGAAGTCCATGCGCAGAGTCAGGAGGGCGGCCGGGTTGGGGGACGACTGGAGCCGCGTGGCCACCTGCAGGGGAGGGGCGGTCAGCGGTGACGTCAGCATTGCCCCATCCACAGCCACGTCATCCGCCTCGCCCACCCCTACCTGCTTGTAGTGGGCCCGGACCAGGCTGAAGACGAAGCCACGGTCAGCCAGGGACAGCAGGTCGCTGAGGAAGAAGGCCAGGCTGGCATTGAGGCGCTCGGCCAGCTCCATGTCCTGGGGACACAGGGACCTGTCAGCCCACAGCCACCCGAACTCCGCCCTCCTGAGTCCCCGCAGGGGCACGGCCACCTGCCACCTCCAGGAGCAGTCTCACTCCCCCAGAGCCTTTGTCCCTGGGACTTCCTGGTTGTCCTCCCCATGCTCCCTAACACACCGTGGCAGAGACTGGCCACTTCCTTTCTGCAAAATCCTCCCCCTCTCTGTCCATAGCAGAGCAGAAGAGACTACATTTCCCAGCATCCCTTGCAGCTGGCAGCACCATGTGACCACATTCTGGCCAATGGGGTTTGAGGGGAAGTGAGGCGGCCTCGTAGATGGCAAAGCGGTTCAACGCTTGATGTGGCCGGTGCCACAGAATCATGAGGGCTGGGCACACACTGTGAAACCCCCTGGAACCTCAGAAATAAACTTTGGTTATTTCAATCACTTGTGATCTCACTCAAAAGAATTAGCCTCTGCCCTAAAGGATACACCCTCAGCAATCAATTAACAAGGACATACTGAGCACCTATTATGTGCCACGCCCTGTGACTGAGGCAGACTTGTCCAAATCACAATCTCACGTGTGGGGGAGACAGACCATAGACATGAATTCCAGATAGTTCTATCTGCTTTGAAGACAATAGAATGGGGTACTGCTTCAAGAGAAGCCGGAAGGATGAGAAGGAACCAAGAGGAGAAAGGCATTCTGGGTAGAGGGAACATGCAGTGCAAAGGCCCTGAGGAAGGATGTGGCTGGCAAGTTAGCTGCAGAGTCCACAGGGCGGCAGTGACAGGGTCTCCCTTGTGCATGGAGCCCAATGCAATCAGTGCACAATAAATGTCAACAGAATGAATGAAACCGCTGTGGCCTGTCACCGGGCCCCCCTAGCAGCTGCAAGGATACTACTTTTCAGAGTCATTCATTGTTCTTCCCCGCAGCCCTTTCTGAAAGTGGTCAGCCCCTGGGATTGTCAGCCCTTGGGAAAGCTCTAGTGAGACACGATCGAGACCTTCGAGACCAGCTCAGAGGTTGCATGGGATTATGCAAGGGTTGGCTTGGGCCAGAACGGCGTTTCAAAAGTCTGGAAAGTTCTCATCAAATCCAGAAGTCCTGTTTCTCTTTCGAAACCAGACAATCTGGCCACAGCAGAGCCATGTTCCTGCAGGGTTTCTGTCGCTGGACTGAGCGATGGTTGCCCCTGTTAGATGGGGTCGCTTCTGCTCTCTGGTCTACCGTAACCCCCACTCTCCCAACCGAAGGTGGTAGTGAGAGCATGGGCTCTGCGACTGGTGGGGTCAGATTCGAATCCTCATTCTGTCCCTTCCTAGCCGAGTGGTACCAGGTAAAGCTACTCAGTCATTCTCTGCCTCAGTTTCCGCATCAGTAAAATGGAGATTACATGAATACCAGCTTCATGGGTTACTGGGACAATTTAATGATACAATTCATCTAAAGTGCTTAGATACACAGTAAGCACTCAATAAAGGCTCGATATTATTACTATGATCATTATTGTTGCCTGCCTAGCCCCCATGAGCGTTGGAATTGGTGTCCTAGAACCTGGACAGTTGTCAGGGTCTCAGAACATCAACATACATTTATTAAACACTTCCTGTATACTTGCACTGTGCTAAGGGCTAATGGGTCTGCCCTGTCACCTCCCTGCTCTCACCAACCCCCATTCCCCCTCATTCAATGCAGCCACACTCACCTCCTCACTGCTCTCCTAACAGCCCAGCACAGTCCTGCCTCAGGGCCTTTGCATTTGCTGTCCCCTCTGCCTGGAATGTTCTTCCCTAGGCATTGCCTGGACTATTCCCTCACTTTCTTCACGTCTCCCCCTAGATGTCAGCTCCACAAGAGCAAGGATTTTGGTCTGTTTTGTTTACTGCTGTGTGTGGGGCTACACCCAGCTCAGGGCTGTATATTAGGTGCTCAAGAAACAGATGACGAATGAACAGATCCATCCAGCAAACTGGATTCCTGGTCTTGCAGCCAGAAGGCACTGGGCAGGATTGTCGTCCCTGCCTGGCAGGCTGGCTCTCTGTCCTCCCTCAGGCCACTCCCTCCATGCACTCGCTGCATCTCTTACCTTGTGGACACGGGTGGTGACCTCTAGGCCCACAGAGCCTACCAAGGCTGCAATGTCATCCAAGAAGCGCCCAGGGAAGCGCAGCTTGCGGGGCGTGTCCAGCCGCTGGCCAAGAAGCAGGTGCAGCGCCATACTCTTCACCTGTGGGCGGGGCGAGAGGGCTGTGGGTGGAGCAGACTTAATAGGAGGGGCGGGGCTTTAGCAGCAAGGTAGGTAGGCTGAAGTTAAACTTAAGCCCTGAAGCTGTAAACTGAGGGTGGGACCTGAGGGTGATGTGGGCGGGGCTTGTGACATGTGGGTGGGGCTTGAAGGCCATGGGTGGAGCCTGTGTGAGTCCTAGGCAGTGTGAGTGGGAAAGCTGAGGGGGCGTTGTGTGGGAGGGGCTTAAGCAGGTCTGTGTGTGGGACAGATGGTGGGGCTTGAGGAGCTGGATTTGGGGGAGACGGGGCTGCGGCCTGAAAGCCCATCCAAGAGCCACCGGGGATGTGGCCAGCAGGTTTCAGGAAGGGGCCATTCAAGGCATTTCTTTAAGAGTTTTTTTGGGGGTCTACCTCTCCATCTGGGGACAGTTCTTGGAGGAGGGACTTATCTCTCTGGGTAGGGGTCTCTCAGTGGTCTCTCTCCCTTAACAGTCTCATGGTGAAGGGGGCGTCCTCACTCTGTGAAGGGAGGTTTCAGGTACAGTCTCTCCAGGGAGACCCCTTAAGGACCTCTCATCTCTCTGTGGGGGTTCCTTGGGGCCATGCCTCAGGGGTCTCAGGTACGTTCTCAGGGGGCTTCTCTCCCTGAGGAGGAAGGGAGGGGGCTCACCATGAGCTGGAAGAAGAACCAGGCATGCTGGAGGACTGCCTCACGCACAGCACTGCTGCTGACCACCCACTGCAGTGCCAGCTCCTCGTGGAGCAGCTGGGGGCAGAGGCAGGGGTCACAGGGAGCCAGGCACCACTCCCTCCCACACCCGCCGCTGCTCGTGGGCATGCTAGGGGAGGGCTTAGCGCAGCAGGGGGCCATGCAGGAGGAGAGGGGACAAGAAGAGTCGATGTGCCCTTCCCTGGGCTCTTGGACCCTGCTGAGCTCTGGGCTGCGGCAGGAGGAGCTCTCGGCCCCTTTGCTGGGGCCTGGGGCAGAAACTGAGTCACGCCCACCCCCCCACTACCTTCTGCATAGTGGGTCTCGGCTGGGTGGCTGGCGGGGCCGAGGAGGAGCCCTCGAGGTAGGAGGAGGCTCGGCCAGAGCTGCGGTCGGTGGCCTATGATGGGATGCGATGGCGAGGAGAGGGTTAGTGTCGGGGAGGCAGTGGTGACACAGGCAGAGGAAAGACGTGTCCAAGGGGACATGGATGGGGGAAGAGAGGTGGGTCGGTGTGAATACAGAGAAAGAGACGCTTCCACGTGGATGAGCACAGGGTGGCGGGGACAGGTGGGGACGAGAGATGGGTCGGCGTGGCCAAGCTGCCATGGGAGTGGGCAGGGCAGGGGAGGCAGGGACCGATGGGAGAGTGGCCGGAAAGAGCCAGTGACTTAAGATCAAGGTGTGCAGGTGTGGACAGAGAGGAATGTGATGGAGGGGTGAGAATGACAATGAAGATGCAGGAAGGAGGTGACAAAACACTGTGACCACAACAGGCGGGAGGGAGGGGAGCGTGGATGGAGCTTAAACAAAGGTTTGCAAATGGGTGAGAGAGGGGTGGGTGAAAGTGGAGGAGATGAAATCAGTGTAGACAGCAAGAGTGTATGTGGCCAGAGGAGGTGTAGACAAAGTGGGTTAGAGGGGGGAGAAGAAAAAAGAGGCAGGAAGACAACGACAGAGTAACATAGGCATGAGAGATGAAGCAGCTGAGACAGCCCCAGGGGCCAGGCTTGGCCCTGCCCCAGCCTGGCTTGAGGCTTCACTGGACCTCACTGTCCCCATCTGTGAAATGGGTACGGGGGGACTCAAGCTCCACTCTCGCCTCCTCCTTTGCTGGTCAGGAGGCGAGGCAGCTGGCAGGGACAGGAAGTCTGATGGTGGAGTTGGCCCAGCCCCTGGGACCTGCCTTGACACTCGCAGCCCCTTCAGCTCCTCTGATCCCCGCCACACCCTGGCTCCTTGGCATGAAGCAGGGTGCCACTTGCTGCCTGGAATGCCACTCTCAAACCAAGTTGTCACCTCCTAACCTCCTTCCTGCTCTCCAAGGCACAGCTGACTCTCAGGGAATTAGGATGTTGAGGGAAGCCCTGTTCAAAGTGCCGGGGACAGGGGTGGGCAGGAGCCACAAACCCAGACTTCCCTTCCCTGGCTGGCATCATCGCGCCCTTCAGGTCCTAGCAAAGATGTCACCCCCAAGATCACCCAGAGGGAAGCTGGCGCCTAGCTGCTGTTCACTTCCCTTTCGGCATTTTCAAATCGTGCAGTTGCACACTTGGGCGTCTGTTTGATCCGTGTGTATTTCCCTGACTAACCGGAGCTCAGAGGAGGCTGGGCCAAGGAGCTCATCTTCCCAGCAACATCCTGCCCGCAACGTCCTCAGCCCTAACTCGAGTACAGCATCACGACCACTGCGCTGAGCAGTCTACTTCAAGTCCTTACTAGATCTGAAAATCTGGAGCAATAGCTTCATTTTACAAATGAGGAAACTGAGGCTCAGGGACATGTGGCCAATTGCTTGGGGCAGCAGAGCTAAGACTTGAACCCCGGTCTGTCTGGAGGCAAAGCCCTTCCCCACACCAGGCACCTGGGAAGGAGGCGAGGGGAGTTCTTTGTCTGAAATGGGATGGGGAGGCCCAGAGATTCAGTTCCTCCCCCTTGACAACATTCAGGTTGGTTATGCCAAGGGGACACTTGAGGGTCCCCTGAACAGAGGTGGATTAAAGGGAGGGGACTAGGCCATGCAGGGTAGTGAGGTTATGGGTGAGATTTGCATATCATTTGCATGCTATTTGCATACCACCCCATGCCTTCTGTCTCTGTCTGGGCCTGTGGCCCATGTGGCAGCAAAAGGCTGGTTAAGATGACCCAGTGATGCCACAGCCCCAAACAAAGGCAGGAGGGGTCTGCAGGCAGCCCCCCTAGGTTAGTCGGAGGCAGCCAGGAAGGTGGGAGGAGCTCATGCTAAGGTGGGTGTCACATTCGCGCAGGGGCAGGTAGAGAGGGCACCTGTCTGGGGTCGGCCCCGCAATAAGGGGGCGCCCGCCGCAGCACAGCCTTGCTGCCTCCCGGAGCGTAAGCGGAATTCACCCAGGAGTGTGAGCGATCGATGCCCTGGAGATACACGGGTAACTGGCGGCATCCCCGACGCAGGGCGGGGAAAGCAGCATAAAACGCCAAGCGTGGATGCTGCCCTGGGCCATACATGTGCCCACATGTGCACCCACACGCGACGCTGGAGAACGTGTACATGTACACAGGTGCATGGGTATATGCGCATATGCACCCGTGCAGGTAGGTGCCCAGGGTTTGCGTGTATACACAGCCACATGGGTGTGTGCATGAGGTGTCTGCGTATACATGCTCATGTACGTATGCGTGTGGGGTGCACGTGTATACACACCATATACATAGGTACATGGGTGCGTGCATATAAGCACCCATGCATATATGTGCATGCGTATGTGTACCTGTGTACACAGGTGTATGAGGTGCATGCGTACACGCACCCGTGTAGGTGTGTGCATGGGTACATGTGTATACACACCCATATACGTATGTGCATGGGGTGCATATGTATACGCACTGTGTATGTAGGTGTATGGGGTATGTGTGTATACGCACCCGTATACGTAGGCGTATGGGGTGCACGTGTATACGCATATACTATGTATCTACTGCTCTTTATTCAACCAGACCAAGCTCTGCCACCCATCCTTGGTCACAGAGCGCAGAGCCCAGCGCAGTCCCCAACCTGCGACAGCCACAGCCCAGTCCCCTGCCCAGAGTTAAGCCTTCCTCTGTGCTGTGGTCGCTGTTGTTCCCCATCTTTCACTGACAGTGAGATTCTTCACCCGCCCCCTCGGCAGCCACGGCCCCTGAGGCTGGCGGTCCCAGCGGCCCCCTCACCCTACCTTGCTGGCCAGGATACGGGAAACCTCATCATCCAAGGAGCCGGGGGCCACGGCTAGGTCAGGGTTGCTGCTGCTGATGCTCTTGGAACGGGCCAGGTAGAGGCTTGCAGGGCGACCGGAGCCACGGGCCAGGGTGGCAGCCTGCACTGTCACTGGAGGAGCCCCTGGGGATGGAGGGAACAGGATCGGCCCCCCGCCCACCTGCCATGAAGACCCCTAGTCCTTTCCTAGACAGCCGCCCTTGGCAAAATCACTTTCCCTCTCTGAGCCTCTAAGTTCCTCATCTATAAAATGGGTACAATGGCTGATACCTCACAGACACCTGGGGGGATTAAAAAATTGAGAATAATGCCTGGCACACAGGGGTTGGTGTTATCATTAATTATTTGGCATATGAAAAAAAATCCACCTTTATTGAGTGCTGACAATGTGCTAAGCACTTTGCATGGACTGCTGTATCATTTACTATTACCAGTGCCCCATGAGGTGGGTATTATTATTGTCCCTGTTTTATAAAAGGGAAAACAGGCTCAGAGAGGTGAAGTCACTTGCCCAGCCTCATAGAGATTGTAGGTGACAGAGCCAGGATTCAAACCCAGGCAGCTCAGGCTCTGCCCCGAGCGACAGAAGATGCTTGCTGACTGGCTGAATGATCACCAGAGACCACACGCCTTGCAATTGAGCAAAAGTGGGCAAGACATTATCTCTCTTGCAAGTTGCCCAAACCAAGTTGCCCAAAGCTTGTGAGGCCTCAGGGCCTTTGCACGTGCTGTTCTCACTGCCTGGGACACTCGTCTCTGAGATATTTTCTGTCTCCCAGGGGTTTCCACCAACACTCACCACCTGGGAGGCTGGGCTCAGTGCCAGGCAGGCGAAAGGCGTAGTGGACATAGGCCGCCAGCTGTAGGCAGTGACCACGCGCGTCCTGGGCAGTCTCCAGGCTCCGGTGGACAAGGCTGACTACATGGGCCATCGCTTCAAAGGCCCCACGGCCCAGGTTCACTGTCGGGCAGAGCAGAGGTCAAGTTCCAGGGCCCAGCGCCTCTTACCTCCCCACCCACTTTCCAAAGATAGAGACATCAGGACCCAAGGGGTCATGTGACCATCAAGGGAACACACGGCACTTGCTCTGGGTGCAGAGGACTGGGGCCATTTTTCAGGTGGCAAAACTGAGGCCAGGGAGGTAACTGGGCTATCAAAGGTCACTTAGGACCAGGGCACCGAGGAGCCATCTTCCAGATGGAGAAACTGAGGCCCAAGACCACACTCGCTCACCAATCTGGCCACTGATGATTGGAGGCCGCACGACCAGACGCACGAGCTTGTCCAGAACGTGGTGGGAGAAGGCCACAAGGGGCTCGGGGCTGGCCAGGCGCAGGGACGCGAGGCTGGCCCTCAGCTCCTGTTCCACAGTGCCCTCGCTCAGCACGGTGTCCTTGAGCCGGAACGGGAAGGCCCCCTCCTCCAGGACGTGCACCAGTGTGAAGAACTTATCCAGGTGCAGGTCCTGGGTGGGGACACGGGGAACGCCCCAGGGTATTGAAGCCGCCCCTGCCTGAGTCAGCAGCTTCCCTGAGAGCCCAGCCCGGCTGACCAAAGTCACGTCCACAGCCTGAGGCCAGACATTCCCGGCCGGTGGCAGCTGTTGCCCAATCTCAGGGCAGGCAGGAGGGGAGCAGGGCAGGAGCCCGTACCTGGGGGTGCACAGAGGACGCTGCAGTGAGCTCCACGCTGAACACGCCCTTGTGCCCGTCCACCCAGCGCATGCCCGGCAGTGCCACCTGCGGGAAGGAGGCACCAGCTGGGCACTGGCCGAACCCTCACTCATCAGGCCACCCGGGAGCCCCAGCCATTGCGACACGGTGGCCCGAGTGTGGCCCAGCCTAGGGGAGCAGCTGGGAACCCCACCCCCAGCCCAGTCCCAGTGGACTGAGGGGGACCACTGGGCAGGGTGGAAACCCACATGCTAAGAGGGGGCACAGAGACTGGGGACACAGGGTGGACATTCATTGAGTGAGTCAGGAAATAGCTTCGTGGGGGGACGTGAGGCCCTGGAGGCGCCAGTAGAGGACGAGGCTCCCGGAGTGTGGCGGCAAGGAAGGCAGGTGGCGCGGGAGCCCCTGCGGGGGACGTACATCCGGTGTGAGCACGGAGTAGCTGGGGGGCGGCTGGTCCACGGACACCGGGAGGCAGAAGGGGCCGGTCCTCAGGCGGCCGTGCTGAAGCAGCGGGACCCACTGGGGAGAGGCTGGGGGTCAGGCCTGCGGCCGGGGCACAAGGGGGCACAAGGGGGCTCAGGGGCGGCGGAGGGGGGCGGCTCACGGTGAAGCCCACGGGCGTCTCCAGCGCTGCGCCCGGCCGGGGCTGGCAGCTGACGTGGTAGAAGGTGAACAGCAGGTGATGGTTCTCGGTCACGCAGGCTGGAAGACGCAGCTTGAACTCCTCGTAGAACTCGGGGGACCTGGCGGGACCCGCTAGGGCATCTGCTGGGGGCCGGGACTCCCCTTGTCTGCCCCATAGCCTCTGCCACGCCGGTCCCCCAGTACTGCCGGACCCACTGTCCCCGCCCTCTGCTTCGAGTTACCCCGTTAGCACCCCAAGAGCCTTCACCTCCCTTCTTGCTGCCCCCTGCATCGCCGCCCGTGCTGCCCCGTGTGTGATAAGGGCCATCTCCCCACACTCTGCTATCCCGACACCCGTCAGTGTCCCCAAGGTCCTTGCGCGTCCCGCCGCCCCGCGTACTTGTTGTGGTAGACCACGGGCGTGAAGGCCTCGCGGGTGAATTCGCTGCAGCTGGACTTGCCGAAGATGACCTGGGGGAGGGTGCACGTGAGGGGCCCGCCGAGGACGCCCCACGCCGCCTCCCCGGGGACAGAGCCACTGACCGGCAGCGCCTGACTGGGGTCCTCGCCCGCCATGTACTGTATCCGCACGGCGAGGTTGCGCACGGAGCCCTGGCGGCTGCTGAAGTTGAGGCTGTGCGGGTACACGTAGAGCAGGTTCCTGCGGGGCAGGGCAAGGGTCAGAGGGACAGGGGTCCTGCAGGCGCACATGAGCAGCTGGGCTGCAGGAACGAGGCCGGCTGGGGACACAGACCACTCAGGGGAAGAGAAGGTCGCGAGGCTGGGGCATTGAGGGCTGGGTGACAGGTATTATGGGCACCAGGTAGGAGAGAGGACGGACCGGCACACGGTGGGAACACAGAGTGGCTTCAGGGGCGCTAATGGAGCACAGGGCAGGGAACAGATGGACGCTCAGGGCCAGAGTTCCGAAGTGGCCCAAGTGGCCTGACTGCCCCTCCCCCAAGGAGAAGTCACTAGAGTAATGTGGCCTGTCTCTCAGGTGAGGAAACTAAGGTCAGAGTCCAAAGGTAGGGGTGAGGGTCAGAGTCCTGCCTCCCTCCCCAAGGGGTAACTCTATGCAAGCCCCAACCTCCCTCTGGGCCTCAGTTTCCCTATCTGTATAATGGGGTTGTCAGGCCAGCTAGCTGAGCATTTGCATTAATAACTCTGCTGATGATGAGAAATAACAATGATGACAATAATTGCACCAAACACTCACACGGGACTTACTATACGCTGGGCTCCGTTCCGAGCACTCAGCGTGAAGTGACTCATTTACTCCTCACAGGCAGCCCACGAGACAGGACTAACCTCACCCCCGTTTTATGGGTAGGGAAACTGAGTCACTTGTCCACAGTTATCCAGGGAGTAAAGTCGCAGTTAGCATTGATCAAGAAAAGCTCTGGGCAAACCATCGGTGCTCATAAAAGCCTCATTGTTAATACCGATGTTGTTGTCACGCCTGTTCACAGGTGGGGAAACCGAAGCTTGACACAGTGAGCTTCAGGGTCCCCCAACAGGGTCCACTCCTTTCCCTGCGCCCTGTGCCACGCCTGGCCCTGAGCCCCAGGCAGCGTGATCCCAGCGTGACTCGGCTGGACACTCACCTGATGCAACTGTCTCGTCACTGCGAGGCCCTTGCACAACACGGGGCGCCCAGCGGGCTGGTTAACGATTGACCAGGGGTTAGTGGGGATGCAGCAGCATAAAAGGTATCAGAAGTGGCACTGTGGCTACACACCATGCCAGTGCTTGCTCTGTGCCTGCTGTGGGCCCTGGCAACGGTGGCCCGGCCTGCCGCCGCAGCCCCTGCGGGCAGCCTGGAGCCGGCAGAGCACGAGGAGCTGACCCTCCTCTTCCATGGGACCCTGCAGCTGAGCCAGGCCCTCAATGGCGTGTACAGGGCCACGGAGGCACGGCTGACGGAGGCTGGGCGCAACCTGGGCCTCTATGGCCACACACTGGGACTCCTAGGGCAGGATATCAGCCGGGAACGGGATGCAGCCCGGGAACTCCGAGCAAGCCTGTTGAAGACACAGGTGGGCACTGCAGCTGGGACGTTGTAGGGTGGGTAGGAGTCTGAAGGGGAGTTAATGTCTAGGGTCATCGCCCATCCTGGTGTGCCCACGACTGAGCGAGGGTTCCTGGGATGCAAGACTTTCAGTGATAGAACCAGGCAAGTTCTGGGCACCCAAAGACGATTTGGTCATCCTACTAACGACCCGCCATCTACTGAGCAGATGGAGGAGGACGTTCTGCAGCTGCATGCAGAGGCCATGGCCCAGGCGTTGGGGGAGGTGGCCCAGGAACAGAAGGTGCTGTGGGACAATGTGCAGCAGCTAGAACGCCAGCTGAGGGGTGCCGGGCTGGGCCATGCCCGTCAAGAATTTGAGGCCTTAAAGGTAAGAGACTCTCAGCCTTGGGGGGTTGAGACCCTGACTCCCCGCCAGAACTTACTTCTGAACATTGAGTCCCAGAGACCTCCCAGGCCAGCCTGCCATCTGGGGGACCCTGGGCAAAACCCATGTCCCTGTGTGTGCCTCAGTTTCCCCATTTGCAAATAAGGCTGACAACTGATATCTCAGAGCAGAGCCAAGTACTCAATGCAGATAAAATACTCAGCATGGGGCAGGGTACCCAGTAGGTGCTCAATAAATGCTCACTACTAGAGTAACTGGTAACATTTCTCGAGTGCCCCATAAGTACCCAGCACTGCTCTAGGCCCTTTAATAATTCATACGAAGATCGCAACAAACCCATTGAGTGAGTCCTGTTTTATACCCATTTTACAGATGAGAAAGCTAAGGTCAGAGAGTGTTAGTGATTTGCCGGGTCACGCAGATGTAATAGGGGTCCCTGGGCAGGGTCAGGGGGTGGGAGGTGAGACAGCTGCCAGCTGAGGTTTCCATTTTGACCCCACAGGCTCACACTGACAAGCAGAGCCACATCGTGTGGGCCCTCATGGGCCACGTGCAGAGGCAGAGGCGGCAGATGGCAGCGCAGCAGCACCGGCTGCGAGAGATCCAGGAGAGGTGAGCCGGGCAGGCGTTTGGCACGCAGGGCAGCTGCATGGCGGGGGCACACAGGGCAGCCGGAAGGGACCCCCTCGCCTTGACTAAGCCACATCTCCTCCCCAGACTCCACACGGCAGCACTCCCAGCTTGAACCTGCCTGCACGGAACTCAGGACCAGTCATGCAAGGGACGCTTCCACGTCGCGGGAGGCCCACCGCGCAGGGAGGAGCTGCCTGTCCATTGGGGACGGCCAGGGGGCCGGGCCCCCCTTCCAGGCACGGAGCAGAGACGGAAGCAGGCGGGGCAGAGGCAGAGGATGTGGCCCCGTTGGGGACGCATGGAGCAAGGACATAAAGACACGTACCCCTTCACGCCTGAACACCCTCCATTAAAGCAGAGCCGCGGCATCGCACGCTGGGTGTCTGTATCTGCGAGTGAGGGGGCCGCACCTGGCAGGATGCCCGCACGCCCCCATCCAGGCGCCCAGCCGGGCCCCGGTGGCCGTACCTGTAGCTGGTGTGGGGGGCGTAGACTTCGCGGGCAGGGAACTCCAACATCTCCTTGGTGGGCCGCGCCCTGGGGTCTGGGTAGGGCTTGATGTGCAGCAGCTCAGGGGAGAGGCAGAAGTGGGGATTTTCGGGAGCCGGCGATATGTCGATCTTTAGCTGGGCTGGGCAGGGAGGAGCCAGTTTGCACCTGCCTGGCAGCCTCCTGGCCAGGACCGTCCGGGGCTGCGGAGTTGGGCACCGTCCCGCCCAGTGCCCGCCGGGGGCTCTGTCCTTCAGGTGCCAAGGCCAGAAGTCGCCCTGAACTCTCCTGTCTCTCACCCTCACGTTCGACCAGCTCTACTCTCAGGACTTCTGTCCCCGCCCCCGCCCCCCATTTGACCCACTATCTGCTTTATTTGTTCTGTTTCTTGTCTATGGCCCCCATTAGAAGGTCCAGCCCCTGAGGTCTGGGATCTATCTGTCACCGTCATCGTTGGGTGCCTGGCACGGTCGGTGCTGAGTGTAGGGTTGCTGAGTGACTGCGCGAGAGGGAGGGCTCTTGTTTGCGGGGCGTGCCACACACCGGTCACAGGCCGCAGGCGCCGCAGCAGGGACGACGGGCGCCTCATGTCAGCCAGGAATTTGAACAGGTCCTCGTCACTGAGCCGTTCGGCTTCCTGCATGACACCTGCTCCGTGAGCCGGGGCCGAGGGATTGGGGGTCCCCATAGCTGATGCGGGCGTAGGGAAGCGGGGGAGTCCTTGGTCACCCCTCCCCTTAGCCCCCTACCCCGGGATACACACTTGCTTAAAGAAGTTTGTGACAGTTAGCGTGGCCGGGCGGAAGCCAGAGAAGCTGCAGGCGTCGTCCCCGCTGCTCGTCCGGTCCTGGGGACCCCGACGGCGGCGGTCTGTCCAGGTGGGCCGGCGCTCTAGGGCAGACAATGACAGATACAGAGGGGGACAGAGGTGACAGAGACAGGGAGACTCAGGTGCGGTACCCAGTATGGCCAGCAGAGGGAGCGCCTCCTCACCCCATTCCTGGCCCCGCCCCTAGCCCTACCCTGGAGCCATCAGCCCCGCCCATAGCCCCGCCCCAGGACCGTCAGTCCCGCCCCCGCCCAGCAGCCCCGCCTCCTCACCGCCCTCGGAGTCTGAGTCCCGGTCCAGCTGCCCCGCGCTGCTCACGATGTTGGCCAAGTGCACCGCCGTCCAGGCGAAGGGCATGCGGTAGCGGCCCAGGCGGGTGCAGAACTGCTCGGCTGCCAGGCGCAGCTTCTCTAACTTCTCTTTGTTCTGCGGGGAGACCCCGCCCCATCACCAGCTCAGAGCCCCAGGCCTGCTGCGGCCAGCATCTGCCCTGCCTTCGAGCCACCCCTCCCAGCGCTTACTTTGGCTGTGTCCGCCTCCTTCATCACCATGTAGGGCTCGCAGCACTCGCTGATGTCCCCTTGCTGCAGCACCTTCTCCAGCTACGGGGCAGGCGGGTCCATTGAGGTGCTGCCCAGACCCCCCTCCCCTTCTGACCTCCTACCCAGCCTCCTGGACCCCCAGATACTCCCATCCTATGAAGGCTTTTGCTCCAATACCTCCCATGGCTCCCACTGTCCTTGGGATCAAGTACTAGCACTTGGCCTGCCCGGAGGCTACCCCACCCCCAAACTCCAAGCCCACATTTAGCTGGTGGTATTTTCCCTACATTTATATTTTCCTTTGTTAGTGTACACAGAGGCCACCCCTCGCAGGGCTCTGGGCCACAAGGCCTGGACTTCAATCCTGACCACTCAGGGACTGTGGGACCCTGGGCAGGTCCCTTACCAGCTCTGAGCCTCAGTTTCCCCATCTGGAAAATGGGCACCATGGCAACCCCCACCTTGGGGCCTGCTGTGAGGACTAAAGGAGGGAACCCCTGTGAAGCGTGACCATGAACAAGCCCTGCCTGTGGGCCCTCCATTCATTTCATCGTTGTAACCTAACTGAAGGTTTGGGGAAGGGAAATTTGACCTCACTCCTGGAAATACAAAATCCCCAATGAATGTGCCAGCTAGGTCCTTCATCTGTCCCAGAACTCCCCAAAAGCATCTCGCTCTCTTCCCGCCCTCCCCCTCACCCCCCGGGCTGTTTCATGGGGACAGCCTTTCTCCCTATGGGTCTTAGCTCAGCTGTCACCTCTCCGTGGAAGCCCTCGGTAATTTCTCCCCTACAACAGCCCTGATCACCCTTCTTGGTGACATGTCTGTCTCATTCCACAAAGGCAAGAACCGAACCTATGGCACTCACCATGACCACCCTCTTGCCCAGCCCCAGCGGGTACCTTGATGACCAGGAAGATGTCAGGCGAGGGGTAGGTCACAGAGAAGATGGCGGAGCGGGCTAGGGTAGAGATGGCGGGGTGCGTGCCGTGGGCCCGAAGCAGCCCCTTCATGGAGTCCGAGTTCAGGTCAAAGTAGAAGTTCTCCGAGATCTGGGGACACCAGAGGCAGCTGGGCCACCACCTCCGGGAAGCCCACAGCCCCCCAGCGAGGAGGAAGAGGATGGGGGAAGAAAGAGAAGAAAGGGGGTCCTACCTTCTTTTTCTCCCGCACGTCGTACAGGGCCAAGATCCCAAAGATGGGTTCAATTTCAATCTCGAACCTGCCCGTAAATGGGGGGGGAGGGTCTCACTGACACCCCTGCTGCCCACACATGCCACTCCCTCTTGAGGCCCAAGATGGGGGGCACATCTGATTCCCACTGGGCCACAAGGACCCACCAGTTAAGGGCTTGCATAAAAGGTGCATCCCATTTTGCAAAAGGGGAAACTGAGGCACAGCGTAACACACACACACACACACACACACACACACACACACACACAGCCCCTCCTCCCTGCATCCATGGCACCTGTTCAGCCAGCACAGAAGCAGCTTTTGGCGCAACAATCCCTCCATCTTGAAACTCTCGACTCCTGGGGCTCCCTGTACCTCCTTTCTGGGGCGTCCTCCGCTGCCACTGCCACCCTGGGCTGAGTCCTGTCCTCGCTCACCTGAACGGTCACCATAACCACCTCCCTGTCTTAGTTTGCTTTGCTGGGCCCCACGTGCCACGCGCCTAAGGAAGCGTCTTCAAACTGAATACTTAAGCACTGGCTTCCACTGCCCTGAAGACAAAACCCTACGTGGCCCAGCCTGCCCACCTCTTGGCCTCAGTTTTGTCCCTCTCTGGAAGGCCTGGGTGCCCACTCTTGTGTCGCCGCCCTTGCATGTGCTGTGTCTCCCACACCCACCACCACCCTGGTCTTCTCTGTCCAGCCAGCTCCTCCTCACTGCTGGGTCTTAGCTTCCGCATCTCCCCTCCAGGAAAGCTGTCCCAGATCCCCACTGCCACCCCTCAAGCTGGGTCAGGAGCCTCCCGTAGGCCCCTAAATGCCCTGAGCGTCTCTCATCCCAGCTCTGTGTGGTCATAGCACAGATACGTGTCCTGTACCCTGCAGCCACTCCGTGAGTGTTTGTTGAATGACTGGATGAGCACACAGAGCCGGTTCCCAATCCTTGTGCTTACAACAGGAGGCCCACGCGGGCCTCAGGCCAGATGGAGCCTCCCTTTCCTGCCCCCATCAAGGCAGGAACTCAGGGTGGGGAGGAGGGGCAGGGCCAGGCCTGGGTCCAAGTCCACATCCTGTTCGTTCTGTTCCCACGCACTTCTGGCTGCTCCCGGGGGGCTGATGGGGAGGGGGCCTTGGGCGGCTGGGAGCCAGGCCCAGCGTCCCTAGCACTGCCACCCCCAGTCTTGGATCCCAGCAGCAGGGTGAGCCAATGCCAGACTCTGGCCTCTCAAGTCGTGTGATCTTGGCACAACGACGTCACCACCCCGTGCCTCAGTTTCCCCACCTGTGCCCACTTCACAAGGTTGTGGTGAAGATCAGATGGGTTAATATACATGAAGGGCTGAGAACAGAGCCCGGCACACAACTGGCGCTTAAGCACTGGCGGCTTAGAATGATGAAAAGGGAAGTTTTATTTTCCCCCATAAAAGCCCTAGGTCACAGGGCTGCACGTGGCAATGGCATCGCTCACGCAGCGTGCACCGCACTGGAACCCCTGCGGCCCCTCGTGTAGCTCGCTACACTCACTTAAGCGACAGACACTTGACCAGGATCCTCTGTCCAAAGTGCTCACGGGGTGGCTCCGGGCGGCTGCAGCGTTCCACGGCCTCATCCTGCCAAAAGTCGGGGTGGGGGGTGCAGCTGGGACACGCCCTCCAGGAAGAGCCCGGAATGCACTTCACTCCTCCTCGTCTGGCCAATGTCTGTTCAGGTCACAGCTTAGCCGACACTTCGCCCAGGAAGCCTTCCCTGACCCCTGAAGCCTGGGCAGGCACCTCTTCCAGGTGCTCACAATGCCCTGTTGCAATGGGCCATGTGGCGGGGACACGGAGGGCCGTGCGAGGGACACTTACCAGCATCTCAGCACGGCACTACTCTGTCTGGGTTATAATGTCCTAGCAGAGAGGTCTATGGCAGGGACCAGGTCTATTTTATTCATGGCTGTATCCCCAACGCCAGCAATATAGTGGGTACCCAAACATACTAGTCAAATAGTTATACAACAGGTACTTACTAACAATTGGTTGAATAAACACAGGTACATAAGAAAGTGTTCAATAAATGCTAATTGGATATATAAAGAGCAATATACACTAGGCAGCCAATAAATACTGATTGAATAAATATGAGTATATAGTAAGTACTCAATAAATGATTACATAAAAACATAGGAGCATATAACAGGTACCAAATAAATGTTGGTTGGCTAAATATAAGCATATATAGTAGGTGCTCAACAAATAGTGACTGATTAAATAGAGAACTACACAGTAGGCACATAGGAAGTATTGGTTGAATAAATATAGGGATATATAGTTGGTGCCCAATAAATGCTGGTCAGATAAATATAGGAGTATATAGTAGGTGTTCATATAAAAAAACTACTGAATAAACACAGGATATGCTTTTGGTGCCCAATAAATGCTGGTTGGATAAATATAGGAATACATAGTAGGTGTTCATATAAAAAAGCTACTGAATAAACATAGGGTATACCATAGGTGCCCAATAAATGCTGGTTAGATAAATATAGGTGTATATAGTAGGTGTCCACAATTGAATAAACACAAGGTATACAGTAGGCACCCAGTAAATGCTGGTTGGCTGATACATAGAGATACATGTCAGTTGGACTTCTGGGTCCACAGGCACCCACCTCATCAGGTGCTGGGTAGAGAGTGAGCAGGGCCTGGGGCCGGTGCTGTCGCCGCAGGACTTCATTGCGCCGGTCCACGTCCTCAGGGGCGGCCCGCTCCAGCAGCGAGGGCAGCAGTGAGTCAGCTGCCAGGTTCCTCAGGTCGAAGATGCCAGAGGCGCCGCTGCTTCGAGGGGTGTCGTCTGGGGAGCCCGAGCAGCGCTGGGAGTCATCCTGCCAGTTCAGAATGTGTAAGCACTGAGCACCAGCTGGATACACACTAGCATCACTCTTAGATGAGGAAGCTGAGGGCCAGGCGGTGTGGTCACCACTACGGGGGTGACCTGAGGGCTTTTCTGACCCACTTTCTAGAAACTTCTGTTTGGGGAGCCCCTCCCACTTTTACCACTGTTTACTGATTAAATAAGAGTATACAGTAAACACTCAATAAATGGTTAAATAAAAACATGAGAGCATATAATAGGTACCAAATAAATGTTGGGAGGCTACTCCTATCTCACATTCTGGGCTTCACATGACCGTTGTCTAGCCAATCAGAACACATCTGCCAGTTCCAGAATTGGCTGGCATTGGCTCCAAGGTCCGGGCCAATAAGAGCCTTCCTTGGGACTTTGATGACTGTTGCCAGGGGAGGGGAGGGTTCTTCCCGACCTCAGACTCAGACGCGGTCAGAGCCAGATTGCCCTAGTTCAAATCTCAGCTCAGCTCTGCAACCCTGGCTCTCTGACTCCCACTCTAAGGGCCTCAGTTTCCCCATTTACATCTAAAAATAACAGTGGAAACAATGCAATACTTCTTAGAATAATTATTGTTGGCACAAAGTAGGTTAAATGCTGATGAACAAAATAGGTTGAACGTAGAGGCTCAAGGCCTTAATAACTTTGCCACGCCTCAGTTTCTTGACCTGCAAAATGGGTGCGATGGTTGCCCTGATTCATAGGATGAAAGGAGAGAACAAGTAGGAAGTATTTAGTATACACTAAGCACTGGATAAGTGTGTATAATCATTACCCATAACTTTTCACTCATGAGGCCAATAAAATTCCTTTTGGGCTCCAGGCTGTTTTGGGTCATTTCCTGTCACATGTGCCCGAAAGCTGGAGCTGGAGCCTGCACACATACCCCTGTCGTGACCTTGGCCAGGGGTTCCCTCACCGAGTCCTCAGGGCCTGACTTCTCATCCCCAGACGCGTCCTGCTCAAAGACCTGGCGGGTGAGGCCCTTCTGCCGCTCTCGCTGCGTCTCCGTGGTGACAGGGCTGTACGCTGCACTCAGGTGCTGGTACCTAGCAGGAGGGATGGCGGGGCAGGTAGTGGGGCTGGGTGCTCCCTGGGGCTCCTCAGTGCGCCCCAACATATCTACCAAGAACCACGTGATGCCTGCAGGGCCATCACCCTCCTTGTGCTCTGCCAGAAAAGTGTGGCTGTCCTTGCAGGGAAAGTGGGCAGATAAACAGTAGGACCGGCCATGAACGATAGCCCAGCTCTTCCGGACTCAGACCCCCCCTGAGCTGCCCGCGAGTCGGACCCACCTTCTGTGGACGATGACCCAGTCCTCTGTGTACATCTCCACTGCGGCCCTCACCTGAGCATCCAGTTTTCTGTAGCAAAATAAAATCCAGGTAAACAGAGGCAGGGCCTCTGCGCATCATTCCAATGGCCCACAGGGTAGGGACTGCCGTGCCTAGTTCAGAGACGGGGAGACGGAGCTCAGAGAGGAAGCGTGACTCGTCTAAGGTCACACAGCTGTGCCAGGAGTCGAACTTGGGCCCGCTGGGTTCTGGAGTCTGCCTGGAAAGGGGCTGCCGATGGCAGGTCGCAGAGGCAGGGTGGAGTCATGGGTGGGGAAGGGTGTGGGGCTGAACCCACCCATCCTCGGGGATCCCAGGCTCCGTGGTCCGGCATTCCCGCGGCTGCAGCAGCAGCTCCAAGTCATCGGCTGGAAATTCTACCAGGTCCCTGAGGGGCCCCGGCTCGGCGTCTGGTGGGCAGCTCAGCAACACGTCCTCGAAGTCCAGGGGCTCAATGACCTCCGTCAGTGGGACCTGGGTTGGAGCAAGGTGGCTGGGACGTGGCTGCCCCAGAGGCTGAGAATGGGTGGGGGGGACGGGGTGCGTGTTGGCTTCGGACTCAAACAGGAGGGCGGTGGGAGCCATGGAGGGTGCTGGAGCTGTGGAGGGGCCGTGGAGGTCCATGACCTCGGACTCCCCACCCCCACCTCCCTCCAGCGGCTCCAGGAAGGAAATCACACCCTGGTGCCTGGATGGGCAGGAGCCAATGGTGGAAGGAAAGAAATGTTGACGGAGGCCCAGCCAGAGACAATACCTAAGGCGCTGTGGGCAAGAGGGCTCCACCCCTCTCCCCGCTGCAGGCGAAGTCACTGGGCTCCCCCAGTGCCACCCTCCCCCAGCCCCAGCTGGGTGGTCCAGGCAGCAGGAGGCAGGGTGACAGCAGGCAGGAGCCACGCCCTCCTGGCCACACACTGGGCTACCCCCAAGCAGCTGCAGGGAGGGTGGCCACAGGAACAGAATGGGGACAGCGCTAGGGCCAGGACAGGGCTACCCTGCCCTGCCACTGCTGCAGCCATCTCTGTTCCCCCATGGACAGGGCAGGGACCGAGGGGGGCCACCCGCAAACACTTACCCCCAGGGAGCTGCTGCTGCGCCTGCTGGAATGCGGGGAGCCACTGCGTTCCCGCGACACCTGCTTCCGCACCTCTGCGGCCACCGTCCTGGGAAGGACAGGAAGGGGATTGTTGGGAGCAGGAAAACTCAGGCAGCGGCGCCCTGAGAACCCAGGCAGCGGGGCCCACAGGTTCAGTCTGTGAGAAGAGAACCCAGAACCCAGGTGTCGGGAGCCACAGACCTCAGGCTGTGGGGGCCCCAGGGCACACGGCTTGCCAGTCCCCCCAAAGCTGGGCCTGCGGCCCTTCCAACCGCTTCCCCGTCAAGCAAAGATCGGGGTGCTGCCACTAGATGGGACTTGAGGGGGTCACAGACTCTTCTTCCCCTCCTGGCTGGGCCTGCTCCCTCATCTGGGGGACCTCTGCCCACCCTGGGGTTCCCCAAACACACCCAGCCCTGCCCCCTGGACCCCATCCAGAATGTGTGTCCTGCTCTGTTCTGGCTATGGGGCCTTGGACAAGTCATTCCCACATCTGAGCCTCAGTTTACCCATTTGTAGCTACCCTGATCTCACAGGGCAAAGGCCCTGTGCAAAAGCCCTGAGGCTGGGCTCTGTGCTCTGAGCTTGGAGACCCCTCCTCCCCAGCATCTCTGTGGAGGCAGGAGCTAGGACCATGTGGTCCCCATGGAGGGCCCAGCGCTGGGCCCTGCACATACTAGGTGCTCAATAAATGGCTTTTTTCTTTCTGAGACAGGGTCTCGCTCTGTTGCCTCAGCTAGAGTGCCGTGGCATCAGCCTAGCTCACAGCAACTTCAAACTCCTGAGCTCAAGCGATCCTCCTGCCTCAGCCTCCCATGTAGCTGGGACTACAGGCATGCGCCACCATGCCCGGCTAATTTTTGTTTCTATCTTTCAGTTGCTCAGCTAATTTTTTCAATTTTTAGTAGAGATGGGGTCTCACTCTTGCTCAGGCTGGTCTCAAACTCCTAACTTCAAGCAATCCTCCCACCTTGGCTTCCCAGAGTGTTAGGATTACAGGCGAGAGCCACCACCTTTTTTTTTTTTTCTTAATTTTTAAACACAGTAAGTGAATCCTTCCCTGTCTCCCTCCTGGTCCAACTTGCCCAAATCTGCCGTATTAGGGGAAGCCCTAGATCTCTGAGCTGTGTGGCTTTGGGCAGGGAGGACACCCTCTCTGGGCCTCAGTCCTTCTTAAAATTGACAAGCTGATGGTCCAATGTTCTGGCCTCCCTCCCTTCCCACTTTTCTGTGTGTTTGGAAATTTTCATAATAAACAGATATGCACCAAAGAGCGTGACGCTGACCACTGCAAACCCGACAGCCCACGGGCCATCAGTGAGCTGAGTGTGTGTGCTGGGCCCAGGGAAGACTCTAAGGACAGGGGGGTGGGGGCTACTGAGGCCACCGGGAGCCTCCCCCCGACTGGAGGCCTCCGAATTCAAATCCGTGTGGGTCCAACAAAACTTGATCATGACCTTGATCCGACATGGGGGCCTCCAGTTTGGGACCCCAGCCGCCCTCCTTCTCCGCCCCTGTATTCTGTGTTTATTGCCAAACTGCAGTCTCGCTGCTTCGGGCTGGCGGGTGGGGAGGAGGTTGCAGGGTGTTAAAAATTAGGGCTTTGTCCTCAAATTCCCAAAGCTGGGGCTGCCTCCTGCAGAAGGAGCCCTGGCACACAGGGGCTGGGGAGTGATTTACAAAAGATGCTGAGACAGGGGACAGGGACGAAACAGTGCCCTGGTCCCAGCTGTTCTGCAGCTGCTGTCCCAGAGGAGGGAGGAGGGAGGAGGGAGGGCTAAGGCCTCCAGCTTCATTTTCCCCTTGGCCTTGGAGAGAGGCCCCTGCAGTTGGGAAAACGCTGCTCCATGCTGGCCATGGAGCGACTTGACTGCACTCGGAGCCGTTGAGCACGAGTGAGCGACTGTCCCTCTCCCGGCCTCGGGTCTCAGGCTTGCATCCACCTTACCGAGCTAAGTGCAGAGCATGGCACGTAGTAAGTGCTCAATTAAGGCTCGCTGTCACCATGTTGTCCTCAAAGACAATCCCAGGCACCTGGGTTTCTGGCCCTGTTTTTTTGTTTTTGTTTTTGAGACAGGGTCTCGCTCTGTTGCCCCGGCTAGAGTGCCGTGGCATCAGCCTAGCTCACAGCAACCTCAAACTCCTGGGCTCAAGCGATCCTCCTGCCTCGGCCTCCCGAGTAGCTAGGACTACTGGCGTGTGCCACTACGCCTGGCTAATTTTTTCCATTTTTTGTAGAGATGGGGTCTTGCTCTTGCTCAGGCTGGTCTCGAACTCCTGACCTCAAAATATCCTCCCGCCTTGGCCTCCCTAAAGTGCTGGGATTACAGGTGTGAGCCACTGCGCCCAGCCCTATAATTACTCTTTATACTCTATTTTTTTGCATGCATGTCATATGTCACGGTTTTTAAAAAGGTAAAAAATAATAACATATGTGTGTGCTTGCGTTTGCAGATATATTCAAGGACAAGGTGACACAGACTTTGTCCCCCAAATTCTGGCAGTACTTTTGAAATTTTGAAACTTGTCAATGCACAGCTCATTTTCTTTCTGGCCCTCCAATAAATCATTATTTCTTTAAATGAAAAATGCGAACTGCCTCATGTCCGACAACGGAGGCTGGAAATGAAGATGCTACGGTCAGAGACTCCCAGGAAGAAGGTGAACAAACGTGCTTTGGGATACGCGAGGGCAGGAAGAGGGAAAGTTCCCGAGATTGCTCCGGGCTCACTTTCCCACTGGAGACCCTCAGAGTGACTTAACTACTTTGAGCCTTCATTTCAATTGTCAGAACGAAGTCAATGGGCTGCAGTGACAAATAAGTGACATCCCAGACGGGGACCAGCACCAAAGAAGTGTATAATAAATGCCGATCATTATGACTGTTCTATACTGTATTCGATTTAAAATGGTACGAGCTGGCTGGGCGCGGTGGCTCACGCCTGTAATGCCAGCACTTTGGGAGGTTGAGGCAGGAAGATCACTTGAGGCCAGGAGTTCAAGACCTACCTGGGCAAGAGAGCAAGACCCTGTCTCTACAAAAACTAAGAAGTTCAGTCAGGCATGGTGGCGTGTACCTGTAGTCCCAGCTACTCAGGAGGCTGAGGTGGGAGGATCACTCGAGCCCAAG